TGAAGAACAACTGTGTCACATGTACATGAAGGGTTGTACAATAAGCTTCAATTGCGGTGTGAAGATGGTGAATCAGGAAATAACGAAAACAATTTTTTAAGAACAAATAATTTTTGCAACAGCAATAAATTTTCATTGAGAAAGCAAGATCAGTTTATGTTTTATACATTTTTATTCCAAATTTGTTCCTCTTTTGCTGAACTTCTCTACCGAAGATGGCATAAACAAAAAGAATGGGTAGAAATTTTCGAAGAGTTAACCCTGAAAACGTAGTAGTACTTCTAGTTTTCTAGAAGTACTAAAACATACGAAAACGTCTTTTACTACTAGTAGTAGAAAACGTAGTAGTATCTCATCAAAAAATGTCATAATATCTGATACAAGAGAATTTAAAACTGAACGATTGCGTGCAAAGTTTGTTGGGGTTCCCACTTCTATGTTAAATGAAATTACATATGATACATGCGATAATTTCCGTCTTTTGAGATTAAATCCGACAGCCTCTCTTGATAAAGAACTGAGGAAAAGTTCATCCCGCGAGTAATTAATAAGAAATCTTGACAACGTAGCGCTGCCAAGAAGGGCGGCATGCATGACAAGCAGCCGCTGCTGTGAGGGAAGTGAGGGAAAGGGGGGGGGTGTCCCCTCTCCAGCCCTCACATGCACTCATAAAAACGAGTGGATCAAGCGCTGCCTGGGGGTTTTGTGTCCCCTCTTCAGCCCCACACTCAGAAAAGCGAATGCGTCAATTGATCTAAATATTGACACACTTTCTCCCCACACAACACAACCAGTGAGTGGACATAACACTGATACACAGTGGTGACCTGATAAACTGGGTCAGGATGACACGTACTCGAGCAAAATATGCATCGCTATGTAAACGAAGACTCACTTATTTTCCCGAGTGAGCGCTCAATCATGCTTGCGAAACATTTCTTTGTCATAAGGAACATTTTACTATTCCTTATATTTCAGTATTCCTTATATTTTGGTATTCTATATATTTAAATATTCCTTATATATATCAGTATTCTTTATATTTATATATTCCTTTTACTTTGATATTATTATATTTTAATATTTCTCTTATTTTGATATTCCTTATGTCGCTTATAATTTTAATGTTAACTCATTTCAGTAGGAGATATTGTTTGCACGTTGACATCCATCGCTGATAGTCTGTTTTAAGTCTTTCAGAATGACGTAGTCTTATAAATTATTTACACACGAGTATATGTATGCTTACTGTTTTGAAACTTTTTAGCGCATTTTCTCATTTATGGAAAAATGCACTATTGTGCTCGCCATGTCCGTCTGTCCGTCCATCTGTCCGTCCGTCTGTCCGTCCATCTGTCCGTCCGTCTGTCCGTCCGTCTGTCCGTCTGTCTGTCCGTCCGTGACTTCATGTTTTCGTCGACGAGCAAATGCGCTCTCTGTCACTCACTGCAGTGAGTACTGAGTTATATTTTTTTTAATTGGCCTGAAAATACGCAAAATTGTATGGGCGAAGATATATATTAAACTATACAATACGCTGTATAGGATCTCAAAGCTAAAACAACTCAAAATCTTACTTCGAAATTCATTATAACGCATAGGTAGCAGATTTAATTACTAAAACACACAATTTCTTTTACATCAAAGATTCATATTTAAATGCGATAGTTACCATGGACGTAATTCATTCCTGTCGCATATCAAGCGGATATTGTTGGGCGATCGAGAGCCTAATCTACAACTACTTTATTTATAATTTTTTTTCAATATCAATTACTTAATTTATACAGCGCCAGTAGCTTTTTTTATTTATGACTCATAATCGCATGTGAGTAAGAAAGAAACATTTCCTGTGCCATAAAATTTGTTTGCTTTCACAATGCCGTTTTTATTGCGTTTGACCATCTAATAATTTATTCTTCTCGGCACGCCAAATTTCTAAGTTGGAACAAACACATTCATTCAAGCAGGATATCAATCCTATTTAATGTTCCACCGTAAAAACTAAAACCTTTTATTGTTCAAATAGTTAGGCAACCTTTCAGTGTTTCGGCATCTATTTTAGTAATCGTTCATGCAAAAACGATGAAAAAAATTGGAATTCAAGTAGAGGCAATAAATTAGGGTTGAGATGAAGGTATACAGAATAATGTTCAACGTTGGCCACGTCTGAGTTTCATAATGCAGAAAATTCAAAAATAAATTTCAATGGATGCTTATGAATAACTTGCATGGGATGTCAATGAATAACTTGCATGGGATGTCAATCAAAAGGAGTCATGGGATGTCGATGAATAACTTGCATGGGAAGCGATGAATACAGATTAAATTTTGACTTCCGATAATCCCGCAAAGATTTTAAGTAAGGCTATAACTATAACTAAAAATACATTAAATTAAGGTGTATATACATGTATTGCTATTATTTTTGTAGAGATTACACTGATATAATAAAGGATTGTAAAACTTAACAATAAAATATAATTACTTTCCAGATCAACTTTCTCTTTAGAAGCCTAAAACATCGTTACATTACCTATATTTTTTCACCTCTTTTACTTCAGCTTGCTTATTATTTTTCTTATACTCCTTTAAAATTAAATGGAATATCTGACAGGCTCTACCTGTTACGTGCTTTTGGTGGCGTGTCCCGCGACTGCGCGCCGCGTCTCTTCAATAGAAAAATTGAGGCCGTGGCGGTCAGTTCATCACTGGCGGCCGTGAGGTGAGGTGTGCGTCGCTGGTCCGGGCAGCTGGCCGGTCCTTTCACAGAGACACGTGATTGAAGAAGTACTTTATCAGCTCGGTTTACCATTAAAAAATCATTTCGAGTTTGTAACTCAGACAGCCAGTAACTTAGATGTTCTGAAGTAAAATGCACCAATCATAGACGAGGAATTGGTCGTCATTCACTTAGGACGATACATGTGTATGAGCAATTTTTATAGTAGGGCTCACGGCAGATCAATTCAACTGTGATCGCATCGTGTGTGAACTCAACACTATTCAGTTCATTGTATGTGTGAACTCAATGCTGTTCATTTCATTGTGTGTGATCTCATTAACGCTAATTCATTGCATTGTGTGTGATCTCACTAACTTTAATTCAATTCATTGTATGTGATTTCATTAAATGTAATTGATTTAATTGTGTCGATTCAGCAAAAGCTAATCAGAATCACTCAGATCAGTATTGAAGGAATAATCTTGAGCACTGCAAGTATTTATTTTAAAATGAAATAAATGTTTTTAAATCGGTACCCTCACACACAAAATTTTTGTTTCTTAAAAAATATATTTATTTGTAATCTCATCTGTCAAGTTATTTTATTTACGTATTGCTGAAATTTTCAGAATAAATGAACAGAATCAAGGCCTGAATACAAAAAGGTCGTAATGGAAATAATCGCAAACTGCTCATTTATTTGATGTGTCAATCAAGACCGCAAAATCTTTGAGATATTAAAGTGACTTTGTCCTGATAGCGATGCATTCTTTACGTCAACGAATTGGTCATATCAATAACATCCATTCATTTTTATGCTTATTGTGAATATAATGTATGCTCATCAATATATAATAAGCATTCACAAAATAATAAAAGATAAATCGACATAAAAGGAAGTTTGAACGTGTTTAAATTGCAGTAAAATTCACATTTCTTCTTAACAGAGCACGTCCACTGCTTGTTTAATGTATTTTCAATTATAACGTTCATCTAATTCACTAATAACAGCTATCCGCATAATTAGGCATCAAGATGCACAGACATTAAAGACTATGTTACTAAAATATATTTAAAATATGAAGGGCATTCCAAGGCTAAGCAGGACGGGTAAATTTAAGTAGAAGTGCGCGTCTGTTAACGATTTGTGCCCGGTCTCTAATTAGAACTCATATTAATGAGCGAAAGCAAACAAGTCAACTGAGGTAATTGAGACTAAGCAGCTAATCCTATAATTAACTAGCAATTAATCTAATCATTAATAAGAAACGAAAGACTGTCTTTTCAGTTATTAGCCCCAGATCGCTTGGTTTAAGAGAGAATTATCAAACGGAAAAATATTTTATTTTATTTGTGTAATGGTACTGAGGTATTATTATTATAATAATTTGATATCAAATTATTATCGTTGTACTGAGACTGGAGAAAAAATACCTACAAATGGGATTAAAGTAAAAATAATAATATTAATAATAATAACGATTATAATCATAACAATATTAATAATACTTATAATAAATAATAATGATAATAATAATAACAATAATAATAATAATGATAATAATTATAACAATAATAATAATAATGATAATAATAATAATAATAATAATATTGATAATAATTATAACAATAATAATAATAATGATAATAATAATAATAGACAATGCATCCAAATAGGCTCACGCCTAACGTAGCCGATCATACCGGCCTGGGTATTCCATGGATTACTTGCCAATCTGTGCCAATTTATGCTAATCTATGCCAATTAGTATCTATCGGTGCCAACCTGCTATAATTTGCGCTAATTTGTGTTGCGTTGTTCAAGATTACATCTTGGATCGTCTAAATTATGATCGTTTTATTTATTTTTTTCTAATAAAAGGTCTTAATTTAAAAAAAATTGTGCCTGCAATTGAACCTAATGCTTTACTGTAAAAAAATAGATCTTGTAGATCTAAAAAATTAGGCAACCTTTTAATGTCACGTCATCTGTATTTGTACTCGTTCGTACAATAATCATTCACGAATTAAAATATTTTATTCTTAAAGGATCTTTCAACAATCCAATTTCACGCTCTCTTGTTTTAATTACATAGCTTGTGATCTCGGCTTCAACTGAAAAAAAGGTAAAGGCTTTGACGGTAAGGTTTTACAAGGCAGCAGTTTGGTTCTTGTGTTGTCATATCAAATAACTTGCTGATTTTTGACTGCCTAGAGCGACTGCATGTGTAAATGCGGTCGAAATGAAGCCTACAGGCTTATTTGAGGCCTCGGCATGCCTGCCATTTGCATGCAGCTTATTTGGCTCGCCCTGCAAACTGCCACGAGAAATGCCCTCTGGAGCTTCCCTATGTCGGCCTGGACTGTGGTAACGGTGCCATCACAGTGCCGTGTGAGTGCCATCACAGTGCCGTGTGTGTGTGTCATCACAGTGCCATGTGTGTGTCATCACAGTGCCGTGTGTGTGTCATCACAGTGCCGTGTGTGTGTCATCACAGTGCCGTGTGTGCCATCACAGTGCCGTGTGAGTGCCATCACAGTGCCGTGTGTGTGCCATCACAGTGCCGTGTGTGTGTCATCACAGTGCCGTGTGTGCCATCACAGTGCCATGTGTGTGAGCCGTGTGTGTGTCATCACAGTGCCGTGTGTGCCATCACAGTGCCGTGTGTGTGTCATCACAGTGCCGTGTGTGTGTCATCACAGTGCCGTGTGTGTGTCATCACAGTGCCGTGTGTATGTCACCACAGTGCTGTGTGTGTCATTTATATGAATTCTGCAATTGCGATGTTTAGCTTCAATGATCGTCGAGTGAAAAACCTATCTTATAATATTATCTTAATTTTATGAATTTCGAACTTCCCATATTAAAAGCTATTAACAGTTTAGTTTGACTTGAAATCTATTCGGAAATAGGCATTACATGTCTTCTAAATTTGCAGTAAAGATTTCGTTGAATTTCATTTCGCCAATAGTATTGATTATTTTTTAGTCGTGATATCTTTGCCTTCCTTATTAAGGACAGTGTACTTTTTCTGGCAACCTAGCCGAATAAAACGCATTTTAATTTTCAATATAAATTAATCCTGAATTAACCAAATGGCGGATGTTCTTTTAAATTTGTTAGTTATTCTTGCGTTAATTACTTTACCGAATTCCACCCTCTACCCTCGACAAGGTTGTAACAGGGATTTGTCTTGGGCTGCACGAGTCTAATCAGTCCCTAAACTAAACGCAAGGTTTTCCTAGCTCGTGTGAAATTATTGAGGAGTTTTTCTTGCCCTCAACTGTTCTTACCCTCAACTGTTCTCCCCATCAACTGTTTTTCCCTTCAACTGTTCTTCCCTTTAACTGTTTTTCCCTTCAACTGTTCTTCCTTTTAACTGTTTTCCCCTCAACGGTTCTTCCCTTAACTATTCCTCCCTCAACTGTTCTTCCCATTAACTGTTCTTTCCTTCAATTATTCTTCCCGTCAACATTTCTCATACCACAATTGTTCTTCCCCTCAACTGCTTTCACGCTACAACTGTTCTTCCTCTCAAATGTCCTTCTCCTAAACTTTTCTCACGCCACAACTTTTTCTTCCCCTGAATTGTTTCCTCTTAACTGTTCTTCCCCTCAACTGTTCTTACCCTTAACTGTAATCACGCCTCAACTCAAGCATCTGAGAAAAAGTATTTAACCTGGTATTGGTCGTATTGGGGTTAATTTTCAATAAGGTTTGTCAGATATATCAGCCCTTTTTCGTCCAATGATTTAAACTTTTCAAAAATATATACTATTTATATTAATAATCTATAATGATAATATAGCGCTTATAAGACAATAATTTAGATAAATAAACTTTGCCTGGAAAGATGTTTGGCTAACGTTGTTAAGAACTGATTATATATAAGAAAATTTAAAATAGCGTCTCAAAATGAAAGGTTGTTAAAATTTATTATCATTGATGTAATTTTTTAGAATATTTGAGACTACGATGCTGTAAAATATTTGAATTACCATCAATCTTCGTTGACTCCAAATCTTTCTATAAATGGCACCGTAGTCGATCGATAGATAAGTTAGTAATTTAGTCAACGATTCTTCACTTTAATTTTTAACATTTACTTTCTTCTTAATATTTTCGTTATAAATATTCTAAATAAAATTATCACAAAACTTCCCGCAGCGAATAAATTCAAAGTTCTGAATCCAAATTCAGCTTCGTTCTATATATTTCACACGAAGCATGTGGCAGCGCTTAACGTATATGCTTGCACTTAGAAATCTTTTATCGGGCTCATAAAAGAACAAACACATAGAAAAGGTTATGAACATATTCCCAAGAATATATTGTATTGCCTGTATTTATTTGTTTTTTTTTTACTCTCTCTGAAGTGCGAGATGTAACTGGCAAATAAAAGTAAATTAAATCACGGTTTGAAAATCCGTCGACTTTTTTAGAATAATTTCAAATGCTCAGCACACACCAGACCTGAAATTCTTCAGAGACCTACATAAGTTTTATATCTGACGCTTGGACATAGAATATTTTAAATTATTAAAATATTTATCTCAATATGTGTTGGGAGAAGAAAATTGTCAATCGTGTCAGCGAGTATTAAGATCCCTTGGCTGCTCAAGTCACAAATTTACCAGTATTTTAAAAGTAATGAAAATAGCCAAAAAGTTCACCATTTCTTTTAAGAGAAATCTTTTCCGAGTCCAGCTCCATCGTCAGTTCAAAACCTAGAACACAGGTACAAACAATTAGTAGCCTAAAATTTACGTTCAAACGGTTTACCTACCTTAACTTGAGGACATTAGAACTAAAATCGAAAATAAAACTAATAAAAATGAGATAACATGTGGAGAAGGTACTATCCATTTACAATTTGCAGAGGATGGGATATGAATGCGGTATTTAAACTGGGCTTCTGTTTGAAAATATATAATAATTCTAAAATTCGTAGTTCAGAAACACCGGTTGAGGAGGCTAAAACTCTAAAATCACTTTTGGACACCGGGACGTTGCACTGCTCGTTGCAGCGAGTATTACGGCTTGGTCGCGAGGTTATACGAATTAAACGAATATCCATTTAAAATCCATTAACATAACACGGTGCAATAAAACCTCGATCATCTAAATCTCAAAGACTGTAAACTAAAAACCAGTTACTTATGGGAATGCCACAACTCATAATAAAACAAATCATAATAATTACTTAAATTCTTCGGAAAAATGAAAGTAATGAAAATTGAATCTAAATCATTTAAAGAACAAAAATTATTACTTCAAGTTTTCGAAAAATTATTAAAACAAATTTTCGAAGCATACACAATAAACGTAACTATTATAAACTATTATAACTTCAGAAGAAATATATGTGCCTTCTCATATAAAAACTTGAGAATTTGTGCTGTATATTAGTGGCTAATATCACTATCACGATTTTCTTATTGCTATTTACGATGCAATAGTTTCCTTAATACTTCGATATTATTCACCGATATTTAAAAAATATCTAAGTTATATTATTCACCTGGATACAGGCTATTTAGACGGTCTTTGAAAATGTGCCCAAAGAACGGCTCGAGGTCGGGAAGTTGCTCCGAAATTTTTATTGTCTGACTTGAGTCTTAATTGCGCCTCACCTCAAGGGAGCGTGCCGGAGTGCGTCGTCGCACCAGCAGTGCGTGTCTGAATTGCGCATCCTTTTAAATGGAAAAATGCTCCATTTTCTACCGAGTTTCAATGGAGTGCGAACCCGTGGAAGTTTTTTGTCATATTTGCGAGACTTTGAATTTATTTTAAGGGTTTTTTATTTGTTCCGATGCTTAATTAGGGTAGAGAGCGGCGACATTATTGCAAATGATTCCCGTTAGGAAAATAACATTCCTATTTTTAAATCACGTGGAGAGCAGATGGGGGTATTTTTTTCGACTGAGCAGTCGTAAATGAACTAAGAAATTTGTTTGCTGCACTGATATGAAAAGATCTGAGTTGAAACTGCAATGTGGATTTACATATTGCTAATAAATTGTGAAAGCATTTGCACCGAGACATCGCACAAATCTCAGTTTCATAAAATCGTTTTCTTTGGAATCGATAAAATTTGAACCATTTCTCAATTCATAAAATATCATCACTCATAAATGCGTCGATACCGCTTTAGGAAAAGTTTATATTGTTTATAATTTCCATCTAATCATTTTATTCGAAAAATTTAAGATGAATTATTGATTTTCACAATCAAACTCATTTGAACAAGAATATACAGACTCTCTGTTGAGGTAATAGGGAAAAGTCTGGAAGGAAATTTGTAGTCGCTTAGAAAATTGCATTTTTAGGCAAGATACACTGCATGATTCCCGCGTATAAATTCGCAGATGTACAAAAATCTTCAAATTTTTGGCCGTAAGCTTCAGAAATTTTTGCGCCGTATCATAAATTCTTTTGGGCCATTAGAGGGACAATTTTCCAGACGATTCTGGCCATTTTAAGGCCGCTGCGGCTAGGCTTTGTTCTTTACAGTCCGGACAGTTACAGTCTGAAAATAGCCATAATCATTACAATGCTTGTGATCTACAGTTTGTATTTGTACCATGATTTTCATAGTTATTCGCTGTTATCAATAATTCCGGATATTAGACCATATATGTTCTCAAAGAACTCACTTGCCTTCGTCACGATTAGTTATGTGTGGAATACCGCACGAATGCTTCACAAAACCCACGGACGCTTCATAAGACCTACTGATGCTTTATAAGACCCGTTGTAGCGGGAGACTACTACATCTAAACACTTTAAGGTCTCTGACAGCTGGCCCTACAGTTCGTGGAAGGTTGAAACGACCAAGGAAGATGTTCAGGCTAATTTTTACTCAAGAGATTTGCAGAAATTACTTGGAAACGCAAAATACAATAACACTTGAAAGGTACAGATGACGAACATCGTTATGGACACAACCATGGGTATGATGAAGTCGCTCTCTACTAGAGACAGACTACATCCGACGACAGTTCAGCTAGCACATTTTTCTGTGCTGTTATTTGTCGCGTAGTGCGGCGGCTTCAAATCTAGTACACAAAGCGAGACCAATATCTGGCCGCTACACCGTAGACGCTTCATAAGACCCAGTGACGCTTTTTAAGACCAGTGGACGCTTCATTAAACCAATATTGACGCTTCATGGGACGCACGGACGCTTCACAAGGCCCACGGATGCTTCATAAGACCAACGAATGCTTCATAAGATCTGCAGACGCTTTATAAAACCCTCGGACGCTTCATAAGACCCGCGGACGCTTCATAAGACCCTCGGACGCTTCATAAAACCCTCAGACGCTTCATAAGACCCTCGGACGCTTCATAAGACCCGCGGACGCTTCATAAGACCCGCAGACGCTTCATAAGACCCGCGGACGCTTCACTGCGGACGCTTCATAAGATCAGGAATGTGCTGGCATTTGCTGCCAGCGGCCAAATTCCTTGGCTTGACCACACAGCTTCTCTCCTCCACCACATCGCCGGTGCATTAATTATTGTCTTATCCGTTTTTTTAAATCTTATGTCTCAAAAAATCATATTTTGAAATATTATAAATCATTGAAGTCGGGTCAAATGGCAAACGCGTTTGTGACACTTGTACAAAATACAATGTGTTTGTAACAAATAAATCGTGGTGAAATAATCACAGGATTAATTCTAGTTACTTAATTAATACTTAATACCTCTATTAAGTAACTAGAATTAATCCTGTGATTATTTCACCACGATTTATTTGTTAC